ATGAATATTACAGGAATATTTATGTAGTCATGTGTGTATTTCCACATAAACTTACAAACATATACGCCAATGTATTTACATATACATATACAAGTATGTATGCTCGTCGGAGTTGGCTGCTGATTGATTGCCATCTGCTACTCAGGGCTATTATTTTTTTTCTTGAACTTTCATGTGTAATTTGTCACTTTGAATATGTTTTGAGCATAATGTGTTTACTATACATATACATATACATATAAATATATACATACAACCTGTATATTTGTATTAATGCCGTCTATTTTAGACTCCGAAAGTACTGAGCGAATTTTTTTCATATTTTAGGAATAGCCACATTGCACTACTGAGGAAAATGCCGAAATATTTGCATAAAATCCTTTTTTTTTTATTTTAAAAACTTGAAATTGAATATGTTTTCCAATTATGCAGACTTAAAAAAAATTAAACTTTTCGAAAAAAAATTCTAAAGCGAGCGGTTTGAAATTGGGACGCAAACAAATTCGGCTTGACCAATCGAAATACAAACTTTGCTTTGCGCGTTTGTAGTGTCTTTCTTTTTTAAAGTGAATATTTTTTGGACATTTGGCAAATAATCGTGTCGGTATATAGAATCAACATTGTGTGTTAGTTTCTATATGTTCTGTATGTTTTGTTGTGTATTGTCAATTGTTGTTAGAGTATTTTGGCAGCTCAAATTTAACAAATGTAACTGTGTGCCGTGGAGTGTAACTTTTATGCCGTGCACTCTTGTGAGCAACTAAAACTGGCATATTTATGTCAAAGTATCAGCATTAAAAGCTCTATTAGTATCCGTTACCAGTTTCTGCACCTTTTTGAAGAAAAAATTGCATGTTCCAGCTGAACATAAGTTTCGCCGTTTCACATTGCTGAAGGTTTGGCCCACAATGGACGCGACGCCTCTGCCGTAACGAAGTGGATTGTGAAAACAATAAATATAAATGAAGTTAACAGCTCAGTGCTGTCCAATATATGGAGTTACACCGATGAAAAAAACTTCTCGAAACCACTGATTTTCAGTCCAAATTGGACTTTATGCAAGAATTTCAACCTTTCTCTCCTATCTGCATTGAAACCCGAAGATAATTTCTATGAAATTTAAATATTTTTGAAAAGGCTACCACCTCAGAAAAATAAAATTGTGAAAAATCATTTTTATTATTCAATTTATCGGTATTAATATTATTAATGATTAATTGATGAAATTTGGTACACAGATATCTTATTACCTAAGTTAAGATATGGATTACCTTTTCTTTCGGAAAATGGATCTGAGACCGATCTCTAAGAAAATCTCTAACTAATGATGCGACTCTGAAATACGGTGGCAGTCCATTGCACGCCAGTGTACATTATTTTGAAATTGTGTTAAACATACCCCATAGACTTAAAATTCAAAAGCGTCATATTATGAAAGCAAATCACTCGGAAAAAATAAAGACAAAACCCCTGCCTGCAGATTTAATAAATCTTTTAAAATACCCACCTCTCACTCTCAGAAAAAATAAAGTTCTGAAAGATCGTTTCTATTATTCAATATTCCTGAAAACTGATACACAGATACCCAATTGTCTGGAATAAGATAAGGCACCATTTTTCTTCGAAGAAGTGGACCTGGAACCGATATATCAGAATAAATCTTTTTAATGGTTTCATTGATTGATGAAATTTGGTACACAGATACCTTATTACCTAAGCTAAGATATGGATCACCTTTCGTTTGTGAAAATGGTCGGCTGCAAACATATGAGACACCCTTTTTCTGGGAAGGGTATCACAGGTCGACGAAAATGGATCGTTTCGTTCTTTAAGAGGAGATTAAGATGCACAAAATCGACAATCGTCAATTTATTTAAGCAATTAAAAGAATTTAAAGAGACTGGATCAGTTACACATATTGTAAGGTCTGTGTAAAAGTTTTACCAAAGACCTGGATGTGCTTATTTGTAAGCGAATATGAACAAAACTATCGTCTTGGCGATGTCAAGTTGTGGGTATCTACTTTCTTTACGAACATTCGTATTTAACACAACATTTTTTACTCAATACGTGATTTCAATACCGAACCGCACTCACAAACTCAACTCACTCTTCCTTCAGCTATCTCCTCAAGCTTTTGGTACTCACTCATTTCGGCATCTCTCTTGTTCTCTTTTCAACTCTCGACGTGTTTTCACATTGCACGTGCTGAAGATGATCGTAACATTGCTATTTTAGACAGGTAATTTTCAAAGCAGCAACTTTAGACATTGTGGAAGACCAATTGACTTCAAACTTCGTGTTTGTTGACGAGCCTTCATCACTGCACAGAAGCAAATATGTGGATGTTAAGATAGAACTGAAACATTGGAGAAATGTGTTTGTACTTGAAGCTAGTATAGTTTTTTTCCATGCCGACATCAATATTGGAAGCTCTCTTCAGACATTTTATTTTATTAAATTTTCATTTAAAATCTCAAATCCAGCACACAACGTCGGCGAGAAGTATTATGAGCAACTTATGGTGAACAGACGTGGCCACTGAACATTGGCGTACCCTTAAGCCGAATATGTTGAATTGGCTTCTTCTTCCTCAGTCGAAGTGCAACGTCACATTCAGATTGATTACCGTATCCTTCGCAGAAGTTTCTGTCTGCGATTTAACTATATACCTAAAAGCAGGGTAGTTTCCGTACTGTGCACAACTAGTTACTTACTCACACTTTATTGCGTGTTCCTTATTTTTTGAACAGCAATATGGTAATCAGCTCCACATGGTCCATATATCACAGTTGTTTTGAAGATTGAAAGAAACATTGATGTAAGCCAAAAGTCCGTTAACTATAAAAGAAACAAAAAAAAAAATAATGAATATGAATGTATTTCTCAATAGACCTGGAACGTATCGTAGGAAGAAAGTGGCATATTAGTAGTAACTTACAAACGAGTTTATATAATATTTAAAAACTTAAGTTACACTGGCTGGTTTATACACCTAGACTTCGTAGCACCAAATGGTGTTTCAGTTTAATTCGATAGAAAGTCCTGTTTGTTGGAAATTCAAGTCTTTAATGGTTATCCAAATTTGACGTTTCCTTTAATTCCTTGAATAGACAAGCTGCCATATGTCTAAGTTGAGTTCACAGACATACACACCTACACCTCCTGCATGTGTCACTGCTACTAATTTAAACTTACTTATGTGTCATGCCAATTGGTTATAGCCTGACACTAGGCCGCACAACTGTTATGCGCAGCAATATTAATAACATTTTGAAGCTATGAAGGCATAGATACATCTCAGCTTAATGCCCAAGTCCTGGCGCAGTTCGAAAAGCAATAGCTCGCCTAAGAGATTAAGAAACAATTGGTTCCTTTTAACATGAAAACTTTTCAAATATTTAGATTCCAAACTTAACATAACTAAAAATAAACAAAAATAAATAATGTCAATATTTATATTTGTGCAAATCCTATTAAAATACTTTCTTCAGCTTCAGAGTTAATTTATTTCGAAAAGATCGCCATATTGTGGCATCATCTTATTGTCTACCTTTGCGTTGCTTATAGCAATCAATTAATTTTTACAATACAATGAAGCTGCCAAAGAATGTTAACCACTTTCTTTTTATCTAAATTACAAAGCAACTATTTACGGCACAATCAAAAATTTATTATCACCAACCACAGCAAATGAATGGAAATTCCTGCTCACCGCAAACAAAATGAAATAAATACTCGTATATATTCATCCTAAAGCCTACAGAAAAGTGTATATTAATACATGTAGAAAACAACAAAGCAAACTATATGTATTGTATGTAAGACTAACAGTCTTATTATCGTTGCTGATAGTAATAGAGAATCTTCATTGCGAACTCTGCATAACTGGATTTGAGCTACTCCTTGCTGAGTTCTCTATTGCAAAGCCACACCGGGCGTATGAGTAATTTTTAATTGAGTTGGAGGGACCAAAATAAATAAATAATTGTTCTCTGTTCTAGTAAATGTCTATGGCTTTAATATACTGTGGGCTTATAATTTTAAAATTTTACCAGTAAAAGCTAAAATTGCCTTAGGCGAAAGAGAGAAATATGTTGGCCAAAAGTCTTTTCTTAGACGGCTTGCTTTGAGCTAACCTTCCATGCATTGATTAAATCCCTATTTGTTGTCTTTGGCTGCAACTTTTTTTGGTTTTTGCCTGAACAAAGCCAAAAATTACTTTTCGAAATCTGGCAGATTATTTATTTTAATATGAAAAATTTGTAAAATTTGATATCACATCAAGTGAACTACAATGTATTGTAAAGTATTTGCACTAAGCCTCATACAATGTGGCGTAAAAGTTGTACAGTTTTTTCGAATTTTATACGAATCCGAATATCAAAAGTAGTACCAATGCTAATATGAATACGAATACGAACACAAATACGAGTGCTTAAACTAATACCAATAAAAATACGAATATGATCACGAATACCAATTCGAATGCAAGCCCGAATGCGAATAAGAATACGAGTGCGAACACATTTACAAAAAGGAATACGAATACGAACACGAGTGCCAAAACTAATACCTATGCAAATACGAATACGAATCTGTATGAGAATACTTACACGAATACTAATAGGGATATGGATGTGAATACGTATACATATACAAGTACGGATACGAATATGGGTATAAATACATATACAAATACGAGTAAAAATTCAAATAGGGTTAAGAGCACCTATACGATTACGAATACAAGTACGAACACGATAAAGAACTGAATATTAGTACATATACTAATACGAATGCGAATGCTAATACGAGTAAGGATACGAATACAAACAGGAATTCGAATATGAATACATTATTCGAATGCCAATACGAATACGAATACGAGTAAGAACACGAATACGAATACGAACACCAATACGAACGCGAATGTGAATACGAAAGCGAACTGGAATGCCAATTCGAATAAAAATACGAGCACGAATACGAATACCAATATGAACGCGAATGCAAATACGAATACGAGTAAGAACATGAATACGAATACGAACACCAATACGAACGCGAATATGAATACGAATGCCAACTGGAATGCCAATTCGAATAAGAATACGAGCACGAATACGAATACGGGTAGGAACGCGAATACGAATACGAATACGAATACGAATACGAATACGAATACGAATACGAATACGAATACGAATACGAATACGAATACGAATACGAATACGAATCGAACACCAATACGAACGCGAATGTGAATACGAAAGCGAACTGGAATGCCAATTCGAATAAAAATACGAGCACGAATACGAATACCAATATGAACGCGAATGCAAATACGAATACGAGTAAGAACATGAATACGAATACGAACACCAATACGAACGCGAATATGAATACGAATGCCAACTGGAATGCCAATTCGAATAAGAATACGAATACGAATACGAATACGAATACGAATACGAATACGAATACGAATACGAATACGAATACGAATACGAATACGAATACGAATACGAATACGAATAAGATTACGAATACGAATGCTAATACGAATGCTAATACGAATGCTAATACGAATGCCAAAACGATAACAAATACGAGTGCGAACATGAATACGAATACAAATACGAATTCATTATTAACAAAAATATTATATTAATAAATAATATTTACAATTCAGACATTAATTTCATTTATTTTGGATATTGGTCTTACAAGGCATTAAACCCGTGACCGTTTTTTTTTTAGTAGTTTGCAGCTGACAACTTAGTGGCCAATTTAGGATTTTCTAGTGAAAGGTTTTGCGAAAGATTCATAGTCCCTTACGAGTTGTGAACGGTGAATACCGGAGCCGATGACACCATAAGCTATACGAACATTGACATAGTTCAGTGAATCAAGAAACAGTAGTTAAGCTGGCTAGATCATGTCGTCCAAATGGATGAAAACACTCCAGCTTTGACAGTTTTCGATGCAGTACTCACCGGTGGAAGCAAAGGAAGAGGAAGACCTCGATTCCATTGGAGAGAATAGGTCGAGATTTGCTTGGCTAACCATGGTATTTCCTTTGGCGCCAAACTGAGAAGAGAAGGAATTAATGGCGCAATGCTCGGCTATAATGGCATAAGCGGTGTCTATGCCAGTGAAGAGGAAGAGTTGAGTCGGTTGAAATGAAGTAATGCTTCGACTGTTTTACCTCCAAACAGGTTTCGTAAATATTATGTGCAAAACCACAGTGTGAGGTTGACATTTTCGCAACTTAAATTTTCATCACATCAAATTCAAGTGAATTGACGTCAGTGAAGCGTCTAATGTGCACACCTTTGAAAATCACATACATTCACACACAAAACAGCACAGACAAAGTGAGTGCACCAACAACGCGTTGGTGGATGGAGAAATACGCTTTATATGCCATCAAACCTGAGCCGCGGAGAAAGTAGAACAAACACAGTATGTACATATACATATATAGAAAATAGTGGAGTTCGGGGTGGGAGTGACGCCGGCAAGCACTTAGTTGGCGCGTAAATTACGTGCACGCGCTTCAATGCTCTCCACAGGTTAATGAACTCCCAACACACTCGCGTCTACCCACGCTCTTCCCCCCACACTTGCTTCCCTCGCTCCACTGCAAATATGTATATCCTTTATACACTTTTTCACAGGCTGGCTGCTGGCTGCTGGCTGGCTTTGGAAGCTCGAATTTGGCACTAGCGCACAAAGAAAAGGTAGTTGAAAAGAAAAATACGCAGCCGCGACGCAGCGATAAACTGCAGCAGCCGTGAATTTTAGCAAATTACGAAAAACGTAGCATATTGACGGTGTAAATTGTGTATATACACTTGCATGTGTGTGTGTGTGTGCTGTGCTTCTGTGTGTTATGTTTGTATGGCTGTTTGGCGTAAAGTAGCCGTTGAAAGCGCTACAAATCATTAAAGTTAATTTCCACTAGTTATTACTGTTACACACTTTCTTCGCTTCGCTTCCTGCCACAAATAGTTTTCGTCTTTCTTTGGACTCTTTCAGTTTCTGTGTGCATGTGTATGTGTGTGTGTGTGTTGGTAAGCAACTAGAATGTGGATAATATGCTGCTGTAACGGCTTCATTTTGAGGCGCATAAAAATTACGCAGATTATTAAAATGAAAAATTTCATTTTTCACCACTTTCGCCTGCAGCTGCTGCATTTAATGTTCGCATTGTGCGCAAATGTGGCAACGTCATCGACATTAGCAACGTCAGCCCTCGGCTGAGCAAACTCCCAAACTAGTTTGGTGGTGCACTAAAAACTCCCAGTGGGTTGTTCACAAACTCTTTTGCGGTTTCATTCAGTGAATATTTTCTTTGCGTTTTTCACTCTGCAATTTTTTATTTTCAATTAGTTAAAAGCTTCGAAATTTCATTTTAATTAAACACTCTACAAGAAGGCGATGTTAAAAATATATATATTATCAAAAATCGTGATCTGAGCTTAATAATTTTTTTTTGCGTGAAAAACAAATAAGAAACTTAAAAAATATTAATAAGAAAAGATCCTTAGATTCAGAGCAGCCATAGGTAAGAAAGCGGCAATGAGCCAACTTTATATGTACTGGAACCCACGCCACAAGGGCATTGAAGGGAACAAAAAAGTTGATTAGGTTACCAAAGGTGTTATCGGTCGGGTGATGGAATAGAAACAAGAATCACCCAAAACACTAAAAACTCTATATAAGGAATCTGTGAAAAGGGCTGAAAGACGTATCAAGGCAAAATGGAATGTTTAAGCTCATCTAGATAATATACCAAAGCAGCCTAGGAGATTACGTAATTCTACTTAATCTGAATAAATATATTAGACCAAGAGGTAGAGAGAGAGTTTTTATTCTCTCCAGAGCAGTGACGCTTGTCAACTCTAATTGGACTGGCAGGAATGAGAATCCTATAAAAATGACATGCAACAACTACTGTGCCGTAAGGCATGCTGCTCGGGAACATGGAGTTCTGAAAGTCGGTACCATCCAAACTGCAATTGAAATTAACTCCAAACTCTGAAAAGGATGTAAAATCTCATATAAAAAAAATGAAACCGCACTGCCCCCAAAGAGCTTAACTGTTAGAAGGTGAGGTTAATTTCTTCTCACGTTGAGACACTTTCTAGATTCTTTCGTTCCAAAATGTTTAACCCAAGACTTCAATGAACTATTAAGTGAAATATGTCGTAGTGGATCCACTAAAACTCTCTCTCCCTTTCTTTCTCTCTCTATCTCTCACTCTTTGTACACCTCTCTAACTCTCTCTCTCTCTCTATCTTTCACTCTTTAATCTCTCCGTATCTCTTTTTCTATCTCTATCTATCTCTCTCTCTATCTGTCTCTCTTTGTCTCTCTCCATCCCTCTTTCTTTGTCTCTTTCTGTCTCTTTCTCTCTCTCGTTCTCTGTCTTTTTTACATATGGGTTTCGCTTCACTCTTCTATTCTTACTAAAACTGAGATCTGAGGTGAGGATCAAAGATTTAAATTAGATTAAATGGCAACCCTTATAATTTGGTATTTCAACTGAGCCGAAAACTTACTCACAACTCGAACTGTGGATGCAAAATTTTCAATAAAACTATTTTCAAAGTATTCAAACTTTTTGCATTGCCAATTTGAAGCTCCTCATACCACTTAAGAATATCGCATATAAAAGTCACCGTTATGGAGCTCACATTTAGTTAGGTGCTCCCACCACTGCCCTAACATAGGCATTGTTCATTCCAGGCAATAGTGTAGCAACAGCGGTTGAAAAGCGCGCAATTTGGCCAAATAAACTTCAAATTCACCTGCCCGCTCAAAAGCGGCATTCATGTGCCGCGAACCATTTTGCATGGATACCGAATTCATTAGATTGGTTGCGGTAAAGAGACCATATTGCAGTGACACCACTGCTGTAACAGCGTACCCTTGGCATTCTCATGGCTGTGGCGTGTGCTGCTTGAATTTGACGTGTCGCTTTCGTTGTTGCAGTGTCACTTTATGGCTGACAGCATGCCACCAGGCCAACTTGTGCAGACATGCCTTGACTTCGTCGAGCTTGAATAGACGCGAACATCGCAAGATGTCGTAGTCGCCGAGGCATAAATCTTCTAACACAATGACGGCATACGGCAAAAGTGGCGTTGAAATGAAATTCTTTGTGTGGGTGTGCTTTTATGACCTTATGGTGCAATTTAACCTCGACTCGCACCATTATATTGTAGTGGCAAATACACTGTAGGACGGCATTTTAAGCTCATTCCGTACAGCCGCCAACGAAACCATTGGCTTTTGACAACGTTGAAAGCAGAGATGGTACGTTGAGATTTGCCGTACGGATGGAGAAGAAGGTCGAAATGAGTTTGTACGAAGAGTTTGATAACAAGTCCAGCAGAGGTAATTGTCGAAAATTCTACTTCAAAATGCGACGATTTATGGAAGAATTTACGATAATGATGTGATCCATCGATAGCGACTAAGCTTTACCTGACTATGAGGAGCTCCGAATATCGATTGACCGGCTGAAGGACAACAAGGCGGTGGAAGCCTATGACAAAAAGATGGTGCTATTCAAATATTGCGGCAAAGAACTGACAATGTACACACATTAACTTCCATGCAAAATTTTGTCAAGTAAGAGGATCATCTTCTCTGAGATGGGCAACGCCAGCGTAGTCAGACACACAACGAGAGTCACTCCTCAAGGTGGTGTGCTTAACAGCGAACACGCTGATTAGAAAAGTGTGTAACACAGGTTTACTCTAAAATGCTCTTCGTATAGTTGAGATAAGGTGCAGAGATAGCGGGCTGGACGGTAAAACCGATTTGGTGTTATTAACCAGGAGGTACAAACCGCGCTGCCCTAAAACCACCCAAACTAAAGGGCGTGGAGATTACCCCCTCTTTCGAAGTCAAATTACTTGGGATAATCTTAGATATTAAACTAAACTGTAGACGGAACATGACAGAAAGACCAAGGAAAGCTATAACTGCAATCTACGCCTACAAAACGGCTATAGGAAAGAGATCAGGTTTAAGACCGAATATCGTGCATTGGATGTACACATCGGGAGCTAGACCAATCCTATTCTAAGGGGTCACCGTCTGGTGGCCGGCACTCGATAAGATCATCTTCAGCAGTAAATTAGAGAGAGTTCAACGATCGGCGTCCATCCTGATAACGGGAGCATTGTCATCAACTCCCTCGAAAGTACTGCTAACTCTTCTCAACCTTCTTGCTTTGGACCCATACGGGGAAACTACTGGCGGGTTGCCACGCAATAAGATTAAATGCAACTCATCTTTAGAAGAACTGCAGTATAGAACATACAAAGACATTACCTATAACAGAAGTGCCGAAGCAGCTGGACTACACCACCTCCAGAGTATGCTTCGTTAATCATTTCTCTACAAGAATCCCAAACAGATGCAAGTGGGTAAACACCAAGGCCCCCGGCCAAGTAGCAAAAGCCATCTCGAAACTCGATGGGAGGGCGGGTCGCGGAATGTATTCTTCCGTGCTTTCAGTAAGCATAAGTATGAGAATACTGGATCATTGTAGCGTTTTCCAGGCGGAGTTCTTCGCAATCATAGCGACCACGGAATGGTTGAATAAACCTACGGCAGCAGTGCAATTAGTAACAATCTACTCCGATAGTCAGGCTGCTATCAGATCTCTTCTATGTAACGGTACCACGTCAAAAGTGGCCATAAACTGTATAAACAATCTAAACAAACTCTCAACGAAGTACAGTACTATCGTGGTATGGTTTCCAGGACACAGGGACATCCCAGGCATTTGCTTTGCAGATGATCTAGCAAGGGAGGGAACCCTTCTACAATAAAACACGAACATGATGCTGGTTTACCTCTGTCCATGACTAAGTACGTACTTAAACTCGCCCTGACCAGGGAAGCTGACTCACGATGGTTGAACAAGATCACGTGTATCGTGACCAGAAAGCTATGGCCGAAATTGGACGGGGAAAAATCCAAACATCTTATCCTTCTGGACCGGCTCTCCATTAACATAACAACTGGAATAATAACTGGACACTGTTTAATGAGGTTAGAATGGGCTTATATTTTAACGCTTTCTGCCGCGGCTGTAGGGACGAAAGAGAGTAGGAGACCATCGAGCACCACCTCTGCCACTGCCCAGCCTTGACATCCACGCGACACAAGTTCCCTGGAAAAACCTTCTTAGACTGTCTCGCTGAATTGGGATCAGTGAGCATTGGAAATCTCTGGAGTTGACCAGCAAACGCATCACCTCAACTCAACTCATGCCTGATTATAGGAACTTAAATGTGATCTGTCCAATTACCTACTCAGGCCAAAGTAGAAACTGTTGGTAAGAGTGATTTTGCGCTGGATTTTAAAGCCGATATTCTTGTTGATATTTATACTGCTTCCGAGGCAGTGAGACCTATTTCCACCTCGTTAGCTATCTTAGTAAGCAAAGCTGTCGCATCTGGGGCTCAGAAAACTCAAGATTTATTGTAGAAAAGTCTCTTCATCATCATCTTGTAAGTGGTAGGTGCAGTTTGTAGAACGGTGGGATCATTGGGCATTGGTTCTTTTCAAAAATGAGACTGAAGCAATAGTAATGGTGAATGGATAGTGCTATCGAAAGATGATTTTTTTTATGGACGCAATCGTTTGTGCTTATCCGATATTTATCGGCGCTTACTTTCAAGAAGACGGCTCTTCATTCCACACAAGGAAAAAAAGGAAAAAGCTTCCGGACCATGTTATCGCGATTGCCCACCAAGGTCTTGAGATGTAACAC